AGCTGCTGCCACGGTGCTGGACTTGCCAGCCTGCAGAAAGGGGAAGGCAAGTCCTCGATCCCTGCCCTGTTCCTCACACGTTTACCAAATGCCGGCCTCACGTCGCGTGCAGAGGGGAAGAATTGAGTAACCCCGGAGCACGTCTTTCCAGTAACAGGAGTCTGAGGTTGCCGCTGGAGGCCTTCTCCCCACCCGGAAAAAAAAGTGGTGGTGCCGGCAAGTCCGTCCCCCCTGCCTGCCACGACCAGCCTGTGCTGCTGGACCAGTCAGCTTTCCACTCCAAGACAGCGGTTTCCCAGCAGTTTGGTGTTCTCCCGGCTGCAGTGGGTGACTGTGAGGTGACAGAGGACAGGTTTTGGTGGTGATCGCTGTACACTGCAGCCCCATTAAGCACGTGTCCTCCTGCTCCAGGTCTACATCTCGGAGATCTCCCACCCGGGGGTCAGAGGCATGCTGGGCGCTTGTCCTCAGATCATGGCAGTGCTGGGCTCCCTCCTCCTGTACGCGCTGGGCAAGTATCTGGGTCTTCGGAGGGCAGAAAACCCTCGGGGTCTCCTTAGGGAAGGAGAATTTATTTTAAACAACTTTCTCAGCAAGCGGATGGATTCCTTCCCCTCGCAGCCACGACCACGGGTGCGCGAAGGGGTCTGGATGGGGTCACCTGTGCACAGCCCACACTTGTGTGCTCAGAGTGATGAATCCATAACCCACACGGACCTGTGGCTGTCACTGTGCCCCCAGAGCTGGGTCCTGCCAAGGTTTCATCAGGGCTGAAGGGCAGCACACAATGAACCATGTGTGCATCTCCTGCCAGAGCGTGCCCTAGTTGCTGCAGGATATTGCTGGGTAGCCTGAGGTTTGGGGAAGCTTGCTGGAACTTCTCCATACTGCAGAGCTAAAAATACTTCTTTGCTAGGACAAAGTGTGTGAAATTTCTATTTGTTAAATAGAATTTTTCCCCCCTGCCAGATTTATTAAATTTAAGTATCAGGGTGCCCATGTGGAGGCAAGGCCAGGGCATTCTTCCACAGAATTACACGGAATTATTGAGGCTGGAAAAGACCTCTGAGATCACCACGTCCAGCCTATGACCCAACACCACCACATGGGCCAGATCATGGCACTAAGTGCCACATCCAGGCTCTCCTTAAACCCCTCCAGGGACCGTGACTCCCCCTGCCCTGGGCAGAGCATCCCAGTGCCTGAGCACGCTCTCCCTGAGGAAGGGCTGCCGAAGATCCAGCCTGAACCTCCCCGACACAGCATCAGACCGTGCCCTCTTGTCCTGTCACTAGTTGCCTGGGATTCTGGGATACTTGGCATGTGGCTAGCGTGTGGCTGGCGTGTGCTTGGTGTGTGGCTGGCGTGTGCTTGCCATGTGCTGGGTTCCCTGCATGCTTTCCGCTCGTAACCGCGCTGCTCTGCAGGGCTGGTGCTGGACTGGCGCTGGCTGGCCGTCGCAGGGGAGGTGCCGGTGCTCGCGATGATCGTCCTGCTCTGCTTCATGCCCAACTCGCCCCGGTTCCTGCTCTCCCACGGGAAGGATGATGAGGCCCTAGGGTCGCTGTGCTGGCTGCGGGGCAAGGACACGGACTACAACCGGGAGTACGAGCAGATCAAGGACAGCGTGAGGAAGCAGGTGAGGAGGGTTCCCCTCCTCTGCCAATTCCAGCCTCCTTTGGGCAACTCCTGAGCCATGTCCTGCATGCTGCAGTGGTGCCCAGCAGTAACACATCAAGACTTTCGGCTTTCTCCCCTCCAGAGCCAGCGGGTTTCCTGTGCTGAGATCAAGGACCCCTTCATTTACAAGCCCATCCTGATCGCGGTGGGGATGAGGTTCCTGCAGCAGCTCGCGGGTGTCACCTGCTTCCTCGTGTACCTGCAGCCAATATTCAAGAAAACATCCGTCATCCTGGTGAGCCCTGGAATTTGATCTGTGCTCAGGCTGCTTTTTTCTTCAGTGAGGGCTGCCCAATGTTCCAGGTTCCCTATGGCTCTAAGAACCCAATTTTGAAGCCTTTTTTAAAGCACCTGGTTGGCAGCAATTTCTAAGCACCTGCCCTGCAAAAGGCTGCATGAGGGTAGGGAGCAGGACTGGCCCCACCTTCTCCTCGCTCTCCTCCTCTGAGCTTTGGGCTCTTCTTCTCTGGTCTCTTACCATAGGAGAAGAGCTTTGACAAAGTCACCTGCCAGAGTCAAGGCAACACAACCAGGAACCTGGCCTTTCCCTGGCTCTCCCATCTCAGCTTCCCCACTGCTTTTGCCATTGCAGAAACCAGAGTACGATGCAGCTATTGTTGGCTTGGTTCGGCTGTTCTCGGTGGCGATCGCAGCTGTGTCCATGGATAAAGCTGGGAGGAAGATTCTTCTTTTTGTGTCAGGTATGTGTCTCTCCCATTTTTGTGCAAGGAAAGCTTTTATTTAAGGATTTCCAGGAGCTCTGCAAACTTGCAGGAGTGGAAAATTCAGCCATACAGGACCCGGTCAGAGAGTTGAGGAAGTCTCTTCCCTTTGGTGGTGGCTCAGATCCCAAGCAGAGGCGTTCCTGGGAACTCAGTCCTTGGCATGGAGGAGATCATTTGCTCATCGGTCCTGCTGTGTTGTTGCATCTCTCCACAGGTGGTGTCATGTTGGTCTCCAACCTGACCATGGGGCTCTATATCCACTTTGTGCCAGCTTCTCAGAATGGCACCATTGCCAACAAGACCTTGGTGAGCTCGGCCAGCCTTCCTGCTGAAAAAAAAACTACATCCCCCTCATCCCCCTCCTGGCAGCCATGTTCTTCATAATGGGTAGGTGCAGAGAGTGAGAGCCCAGGACCCACAGCAAAGAGCTGTGGAGCAAGATGGGCTTGGAGTTGGGAGGGAGGCAGATGTCCCTGGAAGACCAGGAAAGATGGTATCCGAAGTCACTTTGAGAACTGACAGAGCACAAACATGGGGAATAATAACTGATGGGGGAGCAGGGCAGAATTGTATGAGGCTCTCTGCGCTCCTCCGTGGGCTTTGAAGCCTCAACAACCTCACCTTCCCCTGCAGGTTATGCTGTGGGCTGGGGCCCCATCACCTGGCTGCTGATGTCGGAGATCCTCCCTTTGAAAGCCCGTGGGGTGGCCTCGGGCCTCTGTGTTGTTGTAAGCTGGCTGACAGCCTTCACCTTGACCCAGTTCTTCCTCCGAGTCGTGGTGGGTACTGCCCTGAGAAGGTGCTCGGCAGCCCCTCCTCAGACTCTCAGACCCGGCTCACGTCCGCTTTTTCTCCCCGCTCCCCAGGAAGCCTTTGGCCTTGAGGTGCCTTTCCTATTCTTCGCTGTCATCTGTGCCGGGAACATCTTATTCACAGGCTGCTGTGTTCCAGAAACCAAAGGCAGGTCCCTGGAACAGATCGAGGCTTTCTTCAGGACTGGCCGGAGGTCGTTCATGAGGTAGGAGCTGCCATTTGTGCTGGGCTACGCGCCCACACGCTCCAGGGCAACAAAGCCAACCACCGAGCTGCTGGAGGTGGAGGCTGGAGCTCTCTGTGAAGGCAACAGGAAAGGACCAGGCAGCACTGATCACCTTGCTTTGGATGTAGAAGTTGCAACTAGAACTTTACCTTCTCTTCCTGTCATTCAACACTACCTGTTGCTGCCTGGGCAACATCAACCCGAGGTACGGGACCTGGTAACCAGCACCAGGCTGGAGGTCAAGATGTCCTGGGAAATAAAAGGTGTGGCAGTGGACAAGAGACCGTGCACGTCCTTCTCGAGGCAGCCACCAAAGCAGGCTGAGACTTTGGCTGGAACAGAGTTAACAATTGTAGCTGTTTTGGCAAAAAGCTCATCATGTAGTTGCAAGAATAAAACAGTTTTGCTCCAGCTGCAAGATGTTGCCTTGATTGCAGAGAAGGAACTGCAGGTGGGTGGGATGGGAGAGGCAGCCCAGGACTGTGACAAGGAGACCACAGAGACCTGCAGCTTCCTAGATGAGCCTCACGTACTTAAGGACTGTGAAAGAGGCAGAGCCAGATATTTTGTACAAAAAGCTGCCACATTTTATTGCTCTAAAAACACACATTACACTAGAAGCCTAACAAACAAGACCAAATATAGTTCACAAAGAAAATACAGGACAAAACGAAGAACAGGAACAGACAAACATTCAGCTGTAGTGCATGTGATTCACTATCCGAAAGACACAGTGGGGACTAACAATACGTGGTACTGGGGCAGGTCCTCCCCACCCCAGAGTTTTACTCATCCGCAAAGAGGGAAGTGGAGCCTCCACCTCCATCACTTTGAGATTTCAACTGCATAGTTAGTAGCAAATTGCTCTTATCTCTTTCCTGTGTGTCCTGCAAGATTAAGGACTTTATTTATTTAGAGCCTAACCCCAGGAACAAGCCAACCGCAGGAGGTGGTCACAGCTGCGAGGAACGAATGGCTTTGCTGAGTATCACATCCAATCTAATTCTTCTCAAAAGGGCAGGACAACAAAGGCTGAGCTGAGAGGTAATTTGCCCAAGCATCTGTCCAACCTCCTGAAATGCACTTGGCACCCTGAGGGCTGGTGGAAATGCTTGTGTCTTCCCTTTCCTGGAGCATTCAGCTGGCTGTGGCAAGGAAACATGGGGTAACATAGCGTATTTGACTTAAATCTCAAGATATGCTAGCTACTGTTTAGATCTTTTGCAGCAGAAGATGAGAGAAATCACCTAAGAGAAGATGTGCTTTATCAGAGGATTAATTTAAAGCAGCGTGGGACAGAGGAATAGAGATGGGCCAAAATCAAAACCACAGAGAAAATTCAGTATTAGGCCTAACCTTTGCAGCTGAGACCCATTTCCAGAAAGATGTTCAGCCCTGGCTGGAATATGACTGTTTCTAAGCATGGCCTGATTACAAGAGGTCTCAGGAGCCCCTCGTTCCCACTGACCTTCTGAAGATCAGGATCTCTGGCAGCCCTGTGCTAGAGCATTCTCTTTCTCACATGGCTATGGATCAGGTCTTGATATCTTCAGTGAAACCCTTCCCTGAAGACAGTGGATGTTTTTTTTTCCTGAGGAAAAAAATGACAAAGATGAATTGAGCTTCCCAGGGCTCAGCTTAAGGAAGAAATGCCCGAATACGAAATGATTTTCTGAGTATTTTCTGGGTGACCTCCTTTCTTCAATATAGAAAGTCTGAGGGGTTTTTGCTACAACATTTAGAGGCCGAGAAATCACAGTGGCTCTTTCCAGAGGTAGAATGGTCTTTTTATTCACTGCACACACAGAGAATCAATTGGTGTTACAAAATCAGCTCCTGCCCAGAGCAGCAAAGTCTGGGTACACAGCAGAAAGCGAGCTTCTGCTCTTATGTTCATGCCCAATGGACAGCCCCAGAGGACAGTGGAGCACTGACAACTTCATGACTGAATGGGACAGGGAAGAGTTGCACTCTGTGCAAATGCACGTGGGTGAGAAGCGCAAAGCTCGCGTGGTGAACAGTGCAACTGTCCATCACTAAGTGCACGTGTGCTGCCAGTACCCAGGTGTCTTTCCACACTTGGTGTCAACAGGTCACCGGAGTCAATGCATCACCTGCTCTTCAGTTCAGATGTAACAAAACTTCTGCCCCATCACCTCACAAAAAGGCTTTTCCAAGATCTGCCAAGTAGAAACCTCTTCCAGAGAGACCTCATGGATTAGCCACCCAGCCTGGATGCCATCAGTGGGGATTGGGTTGAGTCTGTAAAATCTCTAGAGCAGGGCTTTTAACTTCATTTATCCTTACACAGCTCCACACACCCTAATGGTGCCTCTAAACACAATTAATAACCACCATGCACTGTGAACTGGCATATTAATTACTGTGATGCTACTACTCTACGGTTCCTTTCTATTTCCACAAAAACAACTCCCTGCCCACACAGAGGCGAGACCATCCACTAACTGTCACTACAACTCTTAAAAGCCATGGGTGCTGTCACCAAGCTTCGTCTGCAATGAGAGCAGCATCTGGCTTGGTTTCAGCTGCATCACAGACAGATGAAATTCCCAAGAGCTCCCACTTCAGACACAGACCTGTAGGAGTCAGCACTCCTGGAGCCTGGATCCGAGGTACCCCCTGCTGCAGCAGGCACAGAGACAAGGAACAGACCAGGTGTCTTTAAGCATTGTGGCCAAAGGATCCAGCTCTTTCAGAAGAGCCTGAGGCCCCTTTAAACACAGCCATTGAGCCCAGAGCTTCACTTCACAACCTGTTAAGGTTGGCAGAGCTGATGCAGATTGTTTTGCTTGCCTTGGCCCCAGTGTCAGACCCAATTGCCACAAAACACAGCATGACAGTAGTGCCGGTCTCCAAGGGACTTCTGCCGCTGGTGCCAAGAGAGCAGAGAGGACTCATCCATGCTGACAAGCTCTCCAGGTGACGTGGAGCACCACCTGCCTGCAACAAGCCCAGGGCCTGCTGCTGGTCTGTGGCATTAGGACAATCAGATGAAACCAGCTCTGTGGTTCATCACTGCGGGCACAGGTCAGCCTGCAAGCATTTCTCTATCACCTCTGCTTTGCCTTTCACCTCCTCTCACTAAAGCTACTGTGGAACTACTCACAAAGCAGTCACTACCAAAGGCATGCTCGTAGCTACACGTATCAGTCTCCAGCATTCCTCTACTAAACACTACTTAACTCCCCAAACCCCCCTGAAATCAAAGGCAGGACTCTGCACTTGAACCACCTGCTGAAGGGATGCCACCGGCTCCACGAGCAGAAGTTGTTGCCAGCAAAGCATCCCGCAGGCTGCAGCGTTTTCTAGCTACACGTATCAGTCTCCAGCATTCCTCTACTAAACACTACCTAACTCCCCAAACCCCCCTGAAATCAAAGGAAATGTCCCACAGATTGCCTGCAGCAACAGGGATCAGCTCAGAGCTGACGGCTCTGAAGGGTCACAGCCGTTACCGAAAGGAGCTGCAGCCAGGCTGGTGGTGCCCATTCTGCAGCCCAGACAAGCTGGTGTCAGAGCAGTCGCAGCTTAGAGGCTCAGAGGGAAAGGGGTTTAGCACAAAGTGGTTGCCCCAGCACCCACCTGTGTGTAAATGAGCCCAAGCCACGTTCTTTGACTGGTGTAAATCTTCACACCTCACTGAACTCCAAGGAAGAAACAACAGCTCACGTTAGCTGGCAGCTTAGCCCCTCGATTTCCAGGGACTCTTGTAGTCCACGTTACACCCGTACCCAGCCACCCGCTCCGGGCTCTGCCCAGGATGTGCTGGTGTTTCAGCTAACGTGAGCACACACTGTGCCTAGAGGAAGGACATATTCTACAGATATTTTCCAACAAAACTGCTCAGTAGCCACAATGTGGCTGGCAGACAGACCTCTCTGACAGACACCATAACCTCCAGCAGCGTTTCTCAGACCACAGCACGGCCCCTCTGGTACCCCAGTGATTCAAATGGGACCAAGTGCTGGTGGCAGCAGGAACTCAGCTCCCAGGGCAGGGGAGTGAGAACAGGCTGCAGTCCCCGATGCTCACCAGAGCTGCTGCCTGTCTTGGGTGCCGAGCGAGCACAAACCTTCAGTCCAGCAGTTAAAGCCCAGTTTTCCTCCCTTCTCTCTCCCAGAAGAGGAGGGAAAACGAACTTTGTCAAGCCAGTGGTCCAGAAGAAGACAAAGGGGTCAAAGGACAACACAGTTTCCAAAAGTATGAGAAACATTCTGAAGGCTGAAAAGGGATTTTACAATATTCCAGTTATAGCACCCAGTTACAGGAGCCAGCGTTCTCCCAGAGTTCAGAGACACCCTCCCAATGGAATGAGGCAGTCCTCTGAAGGACAGGAAACAGAGCACTCCTTTCTATATATCCAGAGAAAAGGAGTCCCATCAAAATACTTAAATAACTAGAAATAAATTAGTTCCCTTCTTCCTAAACAAAACAAGAAGCAATCACGTAAAAACCAAATAAATTAAAAACCCCAGAAGAAACCATGATGAGAAGAGGAGGATCTGGACTTAACGAGCAGTTTTGTTTTGCATGATACAAAGCAAACGTAAAACGTGATGTGAAAGCCACCGATGGTGCCTAGAATAAAACAAGACATCCCAGCTATCCACACTGAAACAGTGCAGACTTCTCTGTGTTTGCAAAGGAAGGATATGTCACCTTCCCGTACAAAACCAGCCCGGGACTGACGCAAAAAGAACACGATCCCAAAGAGAGAGGCTGTACCAGATAGAAGTAAAGAGCAGGTCCCTTGCACAGAGGTGAAGGGTCACAGGATGCAGCAGGTGAGAGACAACAGAGCAGAGTCCCAGGGTCGTGAGAGAAGGATGTTCTTGCACATCAGTGACCCTTACACCAGCAAAAAATCCCACTTGGCTCAAGCAACAGTACCCTTTTCAGGTGAAGCAAAGCGTACCCTATTTCCCTTCTTCCCAGCAAAAGACTGAAGCCTAAGAAAGTACC